CCACCTCCTGCTAAACAAACACAAATCCAATTAACACTTGTCAGTTCACGTCACACTGACTCTGTATACAGCTTTCAAAGAAGTTCTCTATTTATCACAAGGAGTAGGTGTTGATAACAACACCTACTCCTTCTTAAATTTGAGATTTTATAGTTTTGTTTTGGACAAAAATTCCAAGATTGGACATCATTAGGTCTTAATTAAGATTCATTAATAAGAGAAAAAAGCACATAAAAAAAAAACACAACCCCATAAAAAGCACAGATGATTCAGCACAGTTGTGATAATAATAATAGTTCGTATCAATTAGTGGTGAAATATTTGATCCAATTCAACTGCTGGCTGTATTTAACACAAGAAAAGGAATTATTTGTTAAGGAATATTTGTTCAGGACTTTAGGTCATGTTTCATATTAACTAATACAGGAATTCAGAAAAAAATGATCAATTTTTCTTTCAGTTTTCTTTCACAAACCAGTGGAGTGCTAATAGATGTAGCTTGTATTATAAAAAGCCAGACATTTACAGTGGTATGTTGAAGATGATGTCACCTGCTAGTAAGCTTGTGTAAGTGGGTGTCCCAACCTAAATTAGTAGAATTGACTCCCCCTCAGATGATGGAGTGAAACATCTACAAGGACAAGGACAATAAAGCAAAGGAAACCAATTTATGAACAAAGTGCTGCTAATAATTTAAAAAATCACTTTCAGAAAAAACAGACTTCAAGGTAGAGCATTTCATTTATGCTTCCTTTTTAATCACTTATTTCTCTTTGGTGGAAACTAATCAGTTGGACATGGAACTGTTGCACAGTCACAGCAATTTAGGTCGTACTTGTGGGTAATTGAAGATGTCTATGCTGCCTGCCTGACACCATGTGCGCAGCAGCCTATCAAGAGGAACCAAATATCGCTCGCAGTCTGATATTCGAAGACCTCGGTCTCTGAGGTGTACTTACTAAAATAAGGAAAGAAAAGGAACAACATTGAAAGGCAGGCGAATGCAGAGCCAATCTATGAGAAAGAATTACCCTTTCAGATGTGGCAAGATTGCCTGTGGCATTAGAATACACCGACAAAAGTTTATTTTTTTTTGTCTGAGTAAAAGGAGTATTCATGTTGTTTTGAGCTGGAGGTGTCAATAAAGCCACAGATTGTGTTCTGGTTCTGCAGATTAAGGGCATTGGAGTTAATTGAACAGAGTCAAGGCTTAAAAAGAGAATGAGAAATCCTAACCTGAAGTATTTTTTATTGTTTGCTTAGATAAACATTTTAACATGATACATGAGCCACGTTAGTCTTTTAATCCCAAATGAATAACATATATAGTTTATTAATGAAATCAAATGTTTCGAATTACACACTTTTACTTTAGACAGGGGGTTGGGGACCCCTGATAGGACATGGAAACATCAGAAGACTATGACTTATGCTAGGAGTCATAATTAAGCAAAAAGTTGCCACAAAAAAAAACACCAATGAAATAAAGTGAATGCAGAACAATCCAATGTTTGGCATATCTTAATAAGGCCGTCACGCCACATGACTACGTATTCAGCTGCTGCGGTTGCGCTTGGTGCATCAATAGCACGTGAGTCAAAAAAAGAAGAAGAAGAAGAAGAAAAAAGAAGCTCCTGGCACCGGTTTCTGTAATTTTAGTGAAGAATAGAAATTAGTTCACAGAGAGAAAATGTTCAAACCTGAACCACAGGAACCATCAGTGGATAGATAATATTAATGTTCTTGTCTGGAGATGATGATATCTTAGGGACGGGGCCTTTTATTTCAAAAGCCCACAAATTGTTCTATATCAACAGATACAGCCTTAATGACAGGTAGAACTTAATTAAGTTTAAGTTCTAAACATACATATTTCTAAACAACATAAGGCCTTAGAAAAATGTTTCAACAAGACACATTTTAAATTTCAAGTGTCCAGTTTCAATCTGGTTGTCTTTGTAATGGCCCATGAAAAAATAATTTTGACCTAAAGAACATACACACTAATCTACCTCCTGTGTAGCTTCTCATGACGTTTTCCTGATACAGTGGAGTTTTGGTGACTCAGGTTATTTAGCTGTTTTTTCTTCGACCTCCAGAGAATGGACTGTAGGCGTATAATTGATGACGGCAAAATAACTGCATTTCTGTACTTTTTTTCTGCGACTGTACTTGCATAACAATGACATCACGCTTTACTGTTTCATTCATAGCAACACAGCAGTCTTCAGTCGTGACCAGTGACTTGCATATTTTCATGACTAATCCTCTGGGCATGCTGCGTCCATGGCAGCAGACGTGATAATGACCAGATCTACCATGTGGTCAAACCCTTCTGCAGGTGTGTGTTGGACTGTGGCATCTGGCAGAGGTCTATGTAATCCATGTGACCTAAAACAGAAATCTGCATGCACTAAAGCTGGCGGTGACATTTTGCAGACAGAAGCAGGAAACTGTGACCTCCAGTTTAGACAGCCAATAAGAAGAGTCGCATTTCTAATAACATTTGATTAGCAGGTTCATTCAGCGCTTGAGTATAACTAGAGCCAGGTTATTTCAAAATAATTGTTGATTCAATTTAGTTTCACTCTTTGCTGAAATGTATCTGTTCTTGCACATTTAATATGTTTTCCATTAGCCCCTTTTAAGGAGCTTTTAGAAAATAACTTTAAGACTTTTTTTAACCTTTGTTTTATCTGAAATTAAATTTAAATTTTATCGTTTAGATACTGTTATTTGATCCTTTTTTTTTTGCTAAATCGTCCGCTAACCCAAGCATTTCTTTGTTTATAAGACATTATGTGACTAATTCTGTTGAATGTAAACAAATTCAGATTTATTACTGTAATCTTGTATGCCATAGCTTCTCATGCTTATATTTGCCTAATACTTTATGATATTAATAATTGATATATATTTAATTTTTTTTACTCTTAGTTCTAAGCAAGTTGAAGTTTTAAGAATTTTATTTATTATTTTTGTCAATATTTGTTTTGTATTTAATTAATTAATTTAGTTAATTCATTTTTAATTAACAATTTTAAAGTTATTTTTTTTGACGATGATAAAGGTACCAGTATATTTTTAAAAGCAAATATTTTCAATCATTTCTGTGAACACAATGAATCTCACTATAAAAATGTTGACACTGCATTTTTTTTTTTAGTTTAGTGGTTAAAACACAAAAAATATGAACAATCCCTGATTATATTCCAGTTGACCAATTTATTTAAATGAGATAAACATTGCTTAAGAATTGCAAAGTGAAGTTATTACAGCCACAACTAAATTGATCTTCCATGCTCCAACTCTACACAGAGCATTAAATACAGAACTGAGATGATGATGAATCATTGTTTTTATCCTGACTCCATCAGCCCTCGTCTTCTCAGTGAGAGTGGATTCAGTTGGCTGAAGGGTTTCCAATCATTCACATGATGAGACAGGTGTTAATGGTGTACGAGGCCATTTTCAGTTATTCATGCTCTCTGTTGAGTTTTGATTGGGTGCGTGATAGTAACAATAACAAACGATCATTCCAATATTGAGAAGATTTGTTTAATTGCGATTCTTCCTGTCAAACGCTGTGTGTGCTATCATTCCAGTTTGCCCTGAGCCTTGTTTAATGATCCTGGCTGCTTAAAATTGTATGAACAAGAGATTAGTTTCTAGAAGTCAGTTTAAGCGGAATGTAATCAAACCGGGTGGCCTGAGTTGAAAGTTTTCATTTAACTTTTCTCAAAGAAATGCTTTGTGTTTTTTTCATGTTATGTTGAAAGATCTGTAGTAAAAGTCTGTGTCCATACACAGCGTTAAATGTCGGTACGGTGTCAGTCTCTGCATGAATGGTGCTATTACATATGTTACATGCGACATGGCGACCTCAAACTTTGGATTTTGCATCCTTCATTGATAAAGTCCAGATGGTCTTTGGCGTTTTTGTCACATTTTCCTAACTTTTCATTGGTTGTTATAAATGTGGACATTGATTTTTTTTCTATGGCATGTTGCTGCATGTGTTCCATTACAGTGTGGAATGTATACGTTGACAAAGAGACCTTTGGTCTTTGCCTCTGGTGATGGCTGAGACCCAGGCCTATGTCAGTCTGGTTTGAGGACATCTTTGTAACAAAGATGTGGTCTTGTGCCTGTTCTCCCTGTAGCAGTGCCTTGGTAATGTGTTCATCTTACATGCAGCAGACATTGCAGACCCATCAGTCGTCTGCTGTGCAGGATGAGCTTGTCAAGTGGGCCTTTGTGTTCTAAAACAGCTGTGATTGGGACCAGATCCTGTGACTTTATACTGTAGACATGAGAAGATGAAAGGGCTCAGATTTTAGACTTATAGCCCAAACACTTCTTACACAGATTATTATTACTATTATTATTATTATTAAGAATAATAATAATAATAATAATAATAAAGAATAATACATTCTATTTGAAGGACATTACACATTTAACCTCAAGGACAGATGATTATAGCTATGGCTTTTTTATTTGAATTAGCCAAGGTACTGTACACAAATGTGTCCATAACTGACAGGGCAACACAATGACGCCTTTGTTTCTGAACAAAATCTATAAATAAATATGTACTTATTTGCCCTCTACAGTGTGAGAGAGATTTTGGTTTTAGTTTTAGAACTTGGGTATAAAGTATCATTAACTGTTGTTTGTGAGAGGCTGAAATTCCTGGATTTACAAAATGAACTTACAAAAACGTTGAGGAGAGAGCAGAAAGCCAAAGACAAAGCCTTTAGTTAAATGCTTTTCTACCAAATCCTGATACTAATTAAAGGGATCTCCTACATAGACTGTTGTAGGACTTGTTTGACTAAATATGTTTTACTTTACTTCTGTCAGAACTTCCTAAATTGTGTCTTCCAAATTTTCTTTTTGTCAGTGAAAAACTGAGAACATTCTGTCTTTTTACCTGTTATGTAAAGATTTGAGTGGAGTACTGAAAAAAACAACCTTTTCCCATTCTCTCTGTGTAGGTATGTGGCCATCATCCACCCCCTGCACCAGAGAATGTCATCCACAGAGACCAAAGTGGTGGTGGGGGTCATCTGGGTTCTGGCTCTGCTCTTGGCCTTCCCTCAGTACTACTACTCCAACACGGAGCAGCTGCCTGGTCGGGTAGTGTGTTACATCGACTGGCCTGAATACACCGTGTGTGACTTCAAAAAGATGTGAGTGAATGATTTTGGATTTCAATGTAGAGTCATTCACAGCAGAGTGGTTAATTACAGCAGATAGAGAGAAGTTGTTTGACTTCAGAGTAAATAAGAAAAGGTTGTGTAGAAGCAGGCAAGTTTTCTGTGTTTCTGTGGTGTTGTGGTGTTGTTCAACTGCCTTTGTGTCTGGTGTTGATCAGCTCGGCTTAACTGATACATTTCTAACGGGATTAATACATTACTGAAAAATGTTTGATACTGCTGTACTTAAAATGTCAAAACGAGGTATAATCCACCACATGCAGAAAGTCCGAGTTTGGTCCAGACTAGAGGAAATTTAAATTTGGCTAAGCTGATGCCAGCTTACTGTAGTATGTGTCACACTGACTTAGAGAGAGAACCAGTAAAAAAACAAGATGAGAAAAATACTGTTTTTCCCCCACACAGCTGAGAGCAGTGGTCACCACTCTGCTGAGCTTTTCACACTCATGTTAGATCGCTGACAGGTCACTTGTTTTACAGTCACTTAGTAGGCCTTACAAAACAAAATAAGCATTTATTTGAGTCTTGCACCACTTAGTGTATCGCCACAGATGATGACATATATGAAAACTCTGGGGTGATCGGAGACCTGTGTTGTCCACCAGAGGACTTTTATCTGCTTCATCACAACCACAACAGATGGAAAACATGCAGTGTGTCACAGGAATGGCCCCCGTTTTAATGGCCTCTATTGATTCTAGGCTGTCCTGTGGGACTGCCCATTTAACTGTTACATTGCCCTGATTCTATAAATGAAATGAATCTTTTTAATTGCCCTTGAAGGCAACAGAAAAAGTTGCTGGTGCAGCAGCAGGTTACAGTAAGTGTCCATCCAGGATCCTGCAGTGAGAAGTGTTGAACTTTTTATGGTTTTGTACCTGAATTTGTCCATTCTGGATCAAGACTCCCATCTCCTGGTGGATTTGTTAATGCACATTAATTGACGAGTGAGTGCACATTACCTTGCAGTGTGCACAAAAATGTGGAGAAAAACTGTTTTCCTTGCACAGCGAATTAAGCACTAGTGTGAAAACAGTGTTTGTAGGGAATGGAGGGGTGCAGCTGTTTTCTTTCTGACCTCAACTTTAATTTCCTCCGAAACACCAGCTACAGGCAACAGCCACACTCCTTTGACTTCAAAATAATTTTCTTCTATCTGCCATTTTCACTGAAATAGGACACTGACGTCGATTTGCACAAAGCAATAAACCCTTAAAGCAAAAAGATATTTTCCTTGAGCTACAAGTGGAAAGGGCGCTGGCAACGTTGGAAATTGTTTTGTAAGTGAAAATTTGTGCGTACTTGCTGAAGTCAAGATGTCAGCAGCTTCAATGAGCTGTGGCAGAACTTGAAGGGCACTGGAGCCTAGAATCAGTGGAGTGAAGAATGTCATTCTGTGTCCGTTTGAGTCTCGTTCCTGCACTTTTCACAGCTTTAATGCCAGGATTAAAATTTTTACTTACGTTTAATTAAATTCAACTGATAGAGATCTGCTATAATCTGATGGTTTTTTTTTTTTTTAATTAAATTGCCACCTGTCGTGTATAGGGGCTAAGTTTGACATTTTATTCTGGAGGAATCTTTTGGAGTATTTCAATGTGCCAGTTGCAGTAGCAAGTGTGTACAGTGCATTTCGTGGGTCAAACCAAACATTTCTTCTCTCTCATTTGAAAGATTCAGGGGCAATATACATCCTGTACGAACTGAAATATTAAGACTTTTGTACAGATTTGACAGGTCATGAAACTAAAACTCCAGCTTCACTACAAGAGTAATCTCAGTCGGGGTGTGACTCTGTTGTAGCAGCTGAGCAACAGTCGGTGCAGACCAGTCACCTTTCCTCCAGATATCATCTTTCCTTCAGCTGCTAAAATAGAACCAAAGGCCCTTTCATATCAGACCAGTAACGAAACATTAAAAAGCATCATTTGAAAACTGTTTTCCAGTAACGTTTCTGCAGAGGAAAGAGCAAAAGAGCTGCCACCGATGTAAAAGTGCACCACTTTAATCTCCCCCAAAGGAAAAGTGGAAGAAAATGTATTGACGGTGCATGTATAATCTTTCACTTGCAGACTGTGGCACCTTGCGGTGCTGTACAAACTGTTGGAGCTGCTTCAGGAAAACAGGATAAGTGCACGCTGGGTTTAATTTCTATTTTACGCCAACATTTGTCTAAATCCAGTGGTGTGCATTGTCCAGTCTGGGGGTCATTTAGATGGGTCCATAGCATAGTGGTTAGCTCGCTTGCCTTGCCTTGCCAAGAGGGTCCTGGGCCCAATTCCCAGAAGAACCAAGTAGCCCTTATTGCCTCCACCTGTGTGGCAGCCTGAGCTACAACCACATACTAAACGGCCCCTCTTGTGATGGTTTTTATTATTTTATTTTATTATTATTATTATTAGTGACATTATTATTACTTAGACAGTTTTCATTAGACCATATTTATTTCTCAATAAAATGTTTTTTTTCTCGGCAGACCTACTTTGTTTTGATTGTTTGTTTGTTTTTTTAGAATTTTTGGGGGGATTTTTACTCCGACACTATTACCTATATGTTTTGTTTTACATTTGAAGCTACATATTAGCTGATTTTTTTTTTCATTTTTTTTTCACTTCCTTAAAGAGCTGACTCCCCTATCTTGGCTAATAATTAGCAACATTATCCTGCATAGTTGTACAGCAATGCCTTTAAAGGTGAGTAAATAAGTAAGTAAAATATGACTAAACTCGACTCCTCCAGTCACACTACTATCTACTGTGGCAAGATTTAAAAAAATGAAAAATCGAATTATTGTCCCATGTTTTATTGGTGGAGCAGTTGCTAACTTTTTGCTGTGTGTTTAGGTTTATGGCAAGACATAAACTTAATTTAGTTAGTTTTTCAACTCCATAAAACTAACTTGAAGGCAATATAATTGCTGTGGCATAGGTTTATATAACAACATTACCCTGAGCAGAAATCCAGACCCTGAATAGTTGTTTGTATGCAGGCTCTCAGACACATAGCCACAGTACATGTGTCTGATCACAGCTCCGGTAATGGAACCCTCTCAGCTCATCAGCAGCAATGTTTACTCTGCTGCGGTCTCCCCTTTCATCTGCCACAGTCCAATTTCTCCATGGAAATATTGTTTGTCATGAACCATGCAAGAGCAATTTCACTTTTCATGATGGGATGCCTGCTGCACATATTACTGTTTAATGAATTTCTAATCAGTGACACATAGAAAGCTGAGTGAGATGCACAGTTGTCCTTCTGATCAGCTGCTAAAGCCGTACACCACACATCTGATCAAGGCTGACCTCGGATCACGTCCCACATGCTTGTCCTTGCAGGAATATCCCCAGTCCCATCATCCTTGTCTGTGTAATGACCAGAATTCTGCCTTCCTACTGTCAGTGAGTTTTATTGAGCAGTATTCCAAATGGTAAGATTAGTCCATGAGCCTGTTTGTGAAGATAAAACAGCTCAGCGACCTCACGCAGTCCACTGACCTGCACTGAACCCTCACAATAACACTGTGTTCTGACATGAACTCAGTAAAAGGTCTAACCATTTTCAGACAAAGACTAGAAACTCAGATCACAGTGGGTATTTTTTAATAGTAAGAAACATTGGTAGAATCTAAGAATAAATTTAAAAAACTTTTCTAAAATCCACCCTGGGTGAAGAAAGGGGTTGATAAAATGGCTAAAGGTTTTGTACAACGGTAATCCATATGAATCATTTTAGGCAGTACACTGTTTATTTAAATACATCTCTTTTTGTGTACCTAAACTTTGTTACTATGGTAAGTGTACCATTGGTGGTTCATGGTTTCCCTCCCCACGTGGTCAATCCTCTGACTTCTCATGAGTAATTCAGTACATTTTTGGAGCACTTGCTAATGGCTACCCCAATAGTTTAAAAGTGTTCAAAACAAGGTTGTGTGATTGTGTTAGAACTATCAGCACATGTGTGATGTTCACTGGGACACAGGGATGAAGAACATTTGGGACAGAACGGATGGGAAATGTGTTTTGATCCCAGAGGCAGTGCAGAAAGAGTTGAATACTGCCCCTAGTGGAAGTACTGCTTGATAAACATACCAATGTAAAACATGCACAAGACTAGTGGGCAATACAGCCATTTACAAACATAGATAAAGCATAAATGAGGTTTAACAGAGTGGGTTTTTTTTTTTAAATAAATGTACATGTTTTGCCAAGCTTAACAGGGCAAGTCTTTGCTTCTGTGTTTATGTGTTGGTCATACCAGTGGTATTTGGCATGACAATATTTTATCAGGTCACCTGTACTGTGACCAGATCTGAATACAGAAGGAACGCTTTGGGATTTACTGGAAGTAGTGATTTGCATCATATGTGTTTAGTCGAAAAGTCTGCAGCAGCTGTTTGATGCTCTCGGGTCAAAATCAAATCAAATCTATGAGAAGCTTTTATAGAAATTTGTTTAATGAACACCATGAGTTAAAGAAAAACTAAGGGCTTTAAAGGCAATAGCACAGCCTGAAACAAGATGTTTATCTTCTAATGAGAAAGCCCACCAGTGTTCTGAACACACACACAAATTCACAGTCTGAACACACCTTTAACTTGAAACTCTGCTTCTCACTTCTCTAAATGAGACTTGGCTCAACAAGGGCCTGTGATTGGTGCCAGCGAGGCAGAGCGGAGAAGCAGGACGTCCTGTAACTCCTGCAATTGTTTGGTCACTGCTGACAGGTCGAGTCAAAGGAACAGCTGCCCTACTCCCACCCACCCCGCCCCCCTCACGCACACACATTAATTATGTATGCCTGTTCTAGTACCTGCATATTTTAATCTTCACTCCAGCACTTTTATTTCTGCCACAGATGTTAATATGGGTTTCTTTACTGTTATTTTTCCTAAATAATGATGAGCTGATACTCCACAATGTCTCACCATGCATTAAATATTTACTTCAAATGTATTATATTCCAACCACAACCTA